TCGGACTCCACCTTGGCTCGCACTTCACCACCCCTCAGTAATTTTGCTCAGCCCTAGTCAGCTCTCTCTAGGAGCTCTGGTAGCATAGTGCCAAAGGCACTTGACTGCTAACCAGAAGGCTGGCGGTTCAAACCCACTAGCCACTCCTCGGAAGGAAGGTTGGGCAATCTACTTCCATAGTGATACCGCCTCGAAAACCCAAGGAGGGGTCGCTATGAGTCGGGTCCGACTTGACGGCACATGACAACAAGAGTCAGCTCTCTAGCCTACTGCTCTGTGCAACTCTTCTAAACCTCCAGAGATCCTCTCAGACTTTCTCACTGCTCCCTATCTCACTTTCAGCTAATTTTGCCTCCTACTTCCCAGAGAATTGAGCAGTAATCCTTTTACATTCTCAAATCCATGCCTTTCTTGTTCACAACCTACTTGCTGCCTCAGTAAAAAAAAAAAAAAAAAACACTTGCCCCTTTTTGAGATCCCTTCCTCTCCCACTGCCTCAGAAATCTTGCTCCTAACCCCTTCCCCTTATTTATTTTTTAAACTCTCTAATGGCTCTTTTCCCTCAACGTGACAATCATGCTTAAGACTGTCTTAGTTTTAAAATGCAAAGAAACAAAATCTTCTTGCAATCCCATTTAATATTCTAGCCAGTACCCTATATCTTACCTTTCCTTCATAGCCAAGCAAACATAAACAGTTTCTACAGTTGATATTTCCATCTTTTCCTTCTCATTTCTTTAAGCCACTACAACTGGCTTTAGTCAGCACAATTTGTAACTACTCTCTATATTGATTCCCATGGTTTCTTTGGAAAAACCAATAGAAATGTTTGCATCTGACAATGACAGTTTTTGCCTACACCCTCTTTGATAGCCTCTCCTTTGGCTTCTCAATTCTTTCACTCTCAGAATTCTTCTTTCCTTTTAGTAGGGTCCTTGTAAGTCAAAATCAACTCCACGGCAACGGTTTTTTTATGGGTTTCCTCTCAAATTGACTCAGGTCCCCAGCCTCTTCTGTGCTCACTCTATCATTTGTGGTGGGCAATTGACCTGATCTCAAGGCTGTTGGGTGTCCGCACCCTCTAGGGCACTGAGCATATCCATCTCTCTGACATAATATTCATATCTGACAAAAAATAAACCAAATGAACTGTTGTCCACTCCATTCTAACTCATACGGACCCTACAGGAGAGAGTAGGACTGACCCATATGGTATACAAGGCTGTAATCTTTACAGAAGCAGACTGCCATATCTTTCTCCTGCAGAACCACTGACCTTTTGGTTAGCAGCCAAGTGCTTTAACCTCTGTGCCACCAGGACTTTTAAATATATATATATATATAATCTCTAATACCAAAGAGTATATGTGCTTTTTCTTTCTGCTTCCTCCTAGACTATGAGCGCTATCAGAGCAGGAACTATATTACCTCTCTCTACTGCCTTCCAGCATCCACAGGGACTAGTATATAATGTATGTAGATGTTAATGACTTTTTTTGAAGAAGTGAACATTAGCAAACTTGACTGAGCCCTGTATGAAGACAGTACCCTCATTTGCATGGTATTAAGGACTTCGATTTTACATTGAGGGCTACAAAATTTGCTCAGTCTGGTCTAATATCAGGCTTGGAGTCAGATATCTTGGGTTTACCATTCAGTCATGCCTTATCAAGTGTATAACCTTGAACAAGTAAACCTATATGTGCCTTGTTTCCTTATTGCCAAACAGAGATCATTATACCTGGTTCTAAGATTGTGACAACTAAATGTGAAAAATACTCATAAAATCTCTGGAACATTCCTAGCATACAGTACATTCCTAGCATACAGTAGTGCTAAAACCAAAAACCAAACTCACTGTCGTGGAGTCGGATCCTACTCATAGCAACCCCTTCTTGGGTTTCCGAGGCAGTAGCACTAGGGAGCTCTGGTAGCATAGTGGCTAAGACACTTGCCTGCTAACCAGACGGCTGGCGGTTCAAACCCACCAGCCACTCCTCGGAAGGAAGGTTGGGCAATCCTACTTCCGTAGTGATACTGCCTCGGAAACCCAAGGAGGGGTCGCTATGAGTCGGGGCCGACTCGACGGCACATAACAACAACAACAACAGCACTAGGGAAGTACATTGCCCAATCTCTTCCCATAGTACTGCTAGCAACACTTAAAGTTAGCAATAAACTATAGCAAATAAAGTTAACATTGTTAGTTCTGTAGCATCAGTTAAATATCTTCAGCAATTTAAAAGATTAAAAGAGTACTGCTGTGTTTCCATACTGATCACCAGGAAAATAGCAACACCCCCCCCAAAAAAAAAAAAAAACCACTGTCTTTCTGAGATTGCTTGGGGAACATTTCTCCGTTTGTTCAGTAAATATTTTATTGAGTCTTCCTGTGCTAAAGTTCTGCTTTAAGCTCCGTCCTGAAGCTTATTGGTTACCTTAAAGACCCAGTGATCCCTCTTGGTATTCGAATCAAGCCAAACGCCAAAGCTTT